GGGGGGGGAGCAAGCTGGAAGGTGGCTCCAACTCCTGTGTGCATAGGGAGGTGGCTCCAACTCCTGTGTGCATAGGGAGTCCCCAAGTGCTGAAGTCCTAGTGTCCACCAGAGCTGGGCCTGCATCCACCCAAGCCCCGGACTCTCCTGTCCATTCAAAGTGGCAAAGGTGGCAGAATGTACGTTCCAAGGACAGGGGTGCGGGTAAGGAGTCTCTAATTGCTCAGGTCCAGCTCAAGGGTCAACTGGCGGTCACATCCTCTCCATGACCTCCTCCAACAGATGGCTGTGGAATTATGATGAAATGATGGCAGCAAAGCATCCATCGCAGTGCCTGGAGTTCTGTAGGGCCTCATTACATGTCGGTTCCCTTCATTTGGTTTTCTGCCCTCAGAGTGATAAGGCCTGAGGACAAATGTTGACTAGACAACATCCCCTTGAATGCCCACAACCACACCAGGCCTGGCCACACAGTAGTTGGTGGAGGGGCCGGGCTCAGGGCACAGGTCTTAACCAAAACAGGGCACGCCTAGCCGGGAAGGGGCCTTGGAGCTCTGGCTTGATCCTCTCCCATCTTGGTGGTGCCGGGCTCCATGATCCCTGGAGTGGGCGTGAGGACATCAGGGACTGAACAGGACCATCTGGACAAAGGGGAGGGAAGCTCAGGGCACTGGCAGGGACTTGGGCCCCTCCTTCCTGTGGTGGCAGATGTTGAAAGGGTCTGTCCTCTCAGGGTGCTTTGACCCCGGGAGAGCTCCTGGCGACAGGTGAGGAGTGCGCCCAGGGCCTCTACCCAGGCTGTGTTCCTCCTTGTGCCCACAATCCTGCATCCTCAGGATGGCTCCCTTCTGGATCCTGGGGCCTTGTTTTTCTCTATCCTGGCTGCTGCACTCCTCCCCAGGCCTCCTGCACTCAGCTGTCTGCCTGCCTGCCACCCTCACCCCTGCAGATGCCTCAGAAACCCTGGCCTGGCTTCTCTGGGGAGGTGCTGGGAGTGGAGCTCTGATGGGCCGGCTGGGGTCTAAGGTGGGGGGAAGAGAAGCTTCTCTCCCTGTGGTTTATCTTCTCCAAAACTCTGCACCCACCTGGCTGGCAGGGAGGCGATGGGAACCTGGCTACCTGGTGCTACAGAGGCGCTTCTGGTGAAACAAAATGATCTGCAGACAGACTTTTATTTCACCTCGCTCCCCCAGCCCACCCTCGGGGTTTGACTGGATTAAGCGCTTTGCAACACCAGGTTCTAAAATGAAGACCAGACTTAGGTGTTAGGTTATTCAAACAAAGGTTGTGAGTGGGACAGTTGTCACCTGTGGGGCTAGGCCTATGCTCCTGCCTTCTCCTCATGGGGGCAGTGGTCCAGGTTGAGTGGGGTCTCCAGAATCTCCGGAAGAGGCCCTCCCACGTACAGCCCTCTGAGGGTGCTCCCCTCCCCCAGCGCCTGGGCATCAGTGGTGATCTCAGCACTGGCCCCGCTGTCCTCCAAGGCCCCTCTGTCCTCCAAGGCTATTGCGCCACACCGGAAACAGGAGGCCTCCAGTTCTATTTCTTTTATTGAACTTAAGGGCTTCTTTTTAAATGTAGACAAGAAGTTTTGACAACACCAGGAACATGAACATTTCTCTGACCAGTACAGAGTTAACACACACACACACACAAAATTGAAAGTCATCCTATTCAGGTTGGCGACTCTGATTCTGCAGAATTTCCACTGCCTGGAAAACAGACTGCAAATAAATAAAGTGCATCGAGAGCCAGTCTAGCAGCCAGGGCCCCGTGGGGTTGCGGGGAGGTGGGAAAGCGGAAGCAGCTCGCACTACTCAAGGCCAAAATGGTAAGAAAAGCAGAGGCAGGAGCACAGGCTCAGGACCAGTCCCTGGCCCCTCCCCCAGCCGTTCCCTTTGAGCAGACACAGCCAGAGCCAGAGCCACAGAGGACTTCCTGTGCCCCTCTGGATGGGGAGGAGCTTCTTGGCAAGGGAGCAGGTCTGTGAGGCCAGGGGCCCATGAGGCCAGGGGCCCCTGAGGCTCAGGCACACATTTCTCTCTGTGGGACACAAGCACACATTCAGTGGGGAGCCTCCCTCATGCCATTCTCAGGCCTTCTTCCTCCGTGGCTGGCCCTGGAGGAGGCTGGAGCTGGGGATCCAGTCACCCAGAGAGCGAGACCTGGGCTTGAAAGGGGCACATCAGTGTACCATCCCCAAGGAGGTCCCTGGTCTTCCTCCCATCTTATACAGCCCGTGTTGCTCTCCTTTCTCTGAGGCTGTCCCCGGAGATGTACGGATGGAGTCGGCAGGCTGGCAGGCTCCCAGAAGTGGTCCTGGGTGGAGAGGGTTGGAGTGGAGGAGGGGCTGCCAGGACCGGGGGCTCCCGGGTGACTTGGCACAAAGCAGGAAGCCATCAGGCCCTGTGTGTGGGAAACTGCAGGGGGCACGTGGGAGCCTTGGTCCAGCCTCAGTCCCCAGTCCCTGGGGTGAGGCAGGAGGAGTACTTCACCCAGGACCCAGGCTCCAGCTGAACAGCTGAGGAGGGCAGATATTGTGAGACTGGGCCACTCAGTCCCTGGGGCTGACCCCACTAGTGTGGTTTTCAGTCCCAGGAACTCTGAGTACTTGGGCACACAGCAACCAGTGTCAGAGCAGATGTGGGACCAGAGGCGGGTGTTGAAGGCCAGGGTCTCTCCTGGATCCCCTCTGAGCTGCTCCCGGCCATGCTGGTACGCCCGTCAGCAGCACATCCCAGGCCTCCAGGACCAATTCAAGCCCATCTGGAGGAGAGTCTCCTGGGTGATCCTGGGCATGGGTGAGCTGAGCCTGGGGACAGAGAGATGGGGTCATGCATGGTTCCCAGTCCCCTCCCACCCCCAGTTTATCCTTTACCCTCCTGGTCACATCATGTCCCCAGGAGCCGCCACCACCTCCCTGACCCAAACTGAGAGGTTTGTGTCCAGTTTTTGAGGAGCCCTTGGTTAAGCCTGGGGTGGGGCTGGGAAGACCTGGCTCTGTGGGTGAGGACCTCAGCTACCCAGGGGAATCCTAGGACTCGCGTCTCTTGTGCCCGTCTCAGCTCTGACTGTCCCCCTGGTCTTTCCCGTGACCACCCATACTACTCCAAGGAAAGCCAGTCCCTCACATTCCCACCCTGGCCCTCTCTCTCCCTAGCTCTCCTGGGAGCCTTGTGATCCCCTGCCCCATCCCACTGGGCCAGGTCTTCTGGAAGACTGGGGGATGGGTGGGCGAGTGCAGGCCTTAGGGAAGATTTAGCTCCTCCACGTCTTATCTGTGTGACAAGGGCACACCTGAGCCTCTCTCCCATAACCCGTTTCCCTTGTCCGTAGGTAGGGAGCATAGAACACCCTCAAGGCGTGCTAGGAGAGTTCAGCGCCCAGGTGACATGGTCCTGTTGTTCCCCATGCCCGAACCAGGCCAGGGGGCTGCCCCACACCTCGGGGCCTCTGCCTGGGAGGCCCTTCATCTCCTCCTCAGCCAGGCCCTGCACTCAGCTGCTACCAGGAAGCTCTAGGGGCAGGGGGCCCCTTGGGCACAGATTTGACTCTTGATGAGGCCAGAGAAGGGGCAAGTCACTGGCTACAGACACTGGTTCCTGAACAAAAGAAATGGAGACTTGAGAGTTGCCTCCCACCCAGGGAGGTCCGCGTTTCTCCAGGTGTTGCCTTCTCCACAAGCCCCTTCTCCATCTGCTCCTCCACCCCGGCCCGAGAGCTGCCCTCTGCTCAAGGAAACGCATGTTTCCCCAGACGCTTTGGGTTCACAGGGCGCTCCTGGAGGTTGTCTGAGCCAAAGGATGGCACTCTGTGGCATGGGGAGGGCTGCAGATGGCAGAAGAGCAAAACTGGGGGAGGGCTAGGGAGGAAGGCACCTTTCCCCTCTTCCCTTCCTCCAAATGCATCCTCAGAGAGGAAGGAGGGGAGCAAAAGGGACAGCAGGAGCAGGATGCAGGGGGCTGCAGGGAGCCCAGGGGCCTGAGGGCTGAGAAGGGGACAGACCTGGGGTTCCAGGCTGCCTACCCAGGAAGGTGGAGGGGAAGTGTGGCAGCATCTTTTCTCCTCTAGGGCTTTCCCGTGGGCCACCCCAGCCCATCCACCTCCATTCCCTCAGGCTCAGGTGACACCTCCTGGGCCTCCAGGGAAAGGGGGGCAGGAACGGGGCTGTGGGCGGGAGGGTACACCCTGTCTCTATGGGTGACGGGCTGAACCTCTCAGATGCATGATGCCTGAGTCACAGTCCCCCCTAGCCCCCATAGAATCATGACAAGGGACTGCGAAGAGCCCGTGGCTGCCCAGCCTGCCTGCGCTCGGCTCTGAGCTCTCTGGGCTGGCTTCCCCGGGTCCCTTCCACATTTCCCCAAACCCCCAAGGGGCCTGGACGCCTAAGATGTCATGGCAACCGCCTCCCTCCAGCCCTCAGGTCCAGCCTTTCCCTGGCAGCCTACCTTTTTGGTCAGGGCCAGTCAGAGCAAGTCCCCGCAGCAGCATTTCTTCTTTCTGGTCCCCCCTTCGGCCGATGTGAGGCAACAGGTCGGCTGCACTCAGATAATTTTCTCGAGCCCAAAGGGAAGGGCCCGTTTGGCTCGTTTCTGGGCAACCCGGCCCC